CACATAGTGCCTCACCTGTCATCAACATGAGTACATAAGAACATGTCCCAGCATCGGAAACCATGTGCTTTACACAGGAACATCAAACAATTTCAAGCACAGTAAAACTCTCACCTCCTGAGCAGTAACCACATGAGGGCATAGAGATTCCAGGAACCAACAAGCATTTCGATAGCGTTGGAGGCCACCATACACGGCATCAACGCGAGCAATAAAAGCATCACGATGTTCGAAGCCTTCCTGACACAACAAGCAAGGCTGCGCAGCCACAACCGTTGGTTCATGTAGCCATTCACGCAGGTCCTCTTCTGCATGATCACGGCGCAGTGAAAAGGCATACACAAACCGATTGAATGGGTTATCCTCATCATTGACCTTGTCAGTTCTGTGACCAGACATGTTGTTCGACCAGGTGGCGGCGCCCAGGATTCTTTCTTGCCGGCCTCTGACATTTCTCGTTCGATCATCATCTCTTCGTGACCGCTTTCTGTCACCCTCCCGTGGGCTAACAAATTCCTGTGTTCGATCGGTGCGATTTTCTTCCCGCTTCCGCTCAGCGCAATTTTGTTCCTGCTTCCGATCAGCACGATTTTGTTCCTGCTTCCGACCAGCACGATTTTGTTTCTGCTTCCGACCAACACGCTTTTGTTTCTGCTTCCGACCAGCACGCTTTCGTTCCTGCTTCCGACCAGCACGATTTTCTTTCCGGCTCCGACCAGTCCGTTCCTGTTGGCGACCAGCGCGATTCTGTGTGCGGGAGGAACCTTTCAATGCTAACTTGCTCACCGTCCAGTGCCGGTGTGTCTTGAGCCCTTCCCCGCCACAAGCTGGAAGTTCGGTTCTGCGAGCAACTCGACTTTGCCAGTCCGAAGATTCACCTGTCACGGCTGCAGCCAACAAACCCGGCAACCAAGCCAACCAGGCCCCCGGGGCCAAAGAGGACACCGCAGGCTCGACTCGTCCCTGCCGTCGCAGTTTCTCCAGAAAAATCAGACTCGGCCACTTACCGGTTACTCCAGCTGCCAAACGACTAACAACAGAATCATCGCATTTCATCCAGCCGCTTTTCTGTCTCACATAAGCAATGAAATGACCTCCATGAAATTCTACGAAACCTGTCACAATGTAGCACACATGGCGAGGGTCCTGGTAACAGTCGCAACTAGGAGCATTCTTCAGAACCCACCCTCTCAAAGAACTTTTAAAAAATAATGATTACTCCAAACGAAGCTTAACACCAAAGCTTGTTCCGTCATATTTTGCCGTGTCCTCTCTTCCAGACTGAGCCAGTAGCTGCGTCCAATCGATCGCAGCGCCCTCACGGTTGCCGTCCAGTTGCAGGATGACAGCATCCGAGTTCGGCCAGCCACATGGAAAGTTCGCCCGCGTCACCTCCTCCACAGTGATTGCACGATGATCCAATTCCATCGGCGTGCTGGTCATCATATACAAACCGTCAGCGTGTTCGATGCCACCTATCACACAAATTGCAACGGCGCGTCTCAACAAGCAAAGACAAAACACTCTTAATTAAAAGATGACGTGTCTTTCATCACGCATGCAGTGCGCTAGTTTGATATATCCAGTTCCCCCCCCCTACGCCTCTCTGCCTTGCTCACATATAACCCGCAGTCACTGATGCAAGTCTCAAGCAGGATTTCGAGGCAATCACTGCAATCTGCCGATTCTCCAGGTGGAAATTTCACGGTATTGGTCAAATAGATCTGGTTTAGTAAAGCATACGGAGCGATGCAATCGTACTTCTCGCTCTGCAGGCGTTGCGTCAGTTCTTCCATGCATGTCCGCAACTGCCCTTTCCGCAGTCTCTGAGACAAATCCCTGCGCAGAGGCTGACATGCGACCATGCACTGAACAACAGCGTTCAAATAGCAAGAGTTGCCCAGATTTCGCAGGCCAGTCTGCCAAAACCGATCTTGCAAACCAGAAGTGTCACGAGGGCGACTGCCGTAGTCCAGCCTCAGATGCACACCTTTCTCCCACAACCATTCCGCAGAAGCTTGCTGAGCAAAATGCTCCATCTCCAGATGCTCCTTCACTAGCAGCTTTGCCCATCGAAGAGCACATCTTGTTCTGAACCCTTTGTCACACGACGCATTCGCGTCTTCAGTGCCCTGGAAACTCCTTCCATTTCCGAGGTGGAACCTTGTCTCAGCCAGTACGACATGGCTTCAAGCACTGCCTTCTCTAAAGACATTTCTGGCAGCCCACTCTCCTCCTTCAATCTCGTTTCCGCAGCTTGCAATGCTGGAATGGAAATGTCAGCAGCTGCCAGCAAAGTCTGGGCATCCTCCAATGCTTCAGCTCTCACAGTTCGAAGGGGTCCAAAGTACGTATGCCCTTGCTTTTTGAAACGCGCACGAAAACTGTCTTTGCACTTTTCGATACACTCTTCTACCCGGGCTGCTCTGGCATCAACTTCCAGGGACGCAAACAACTGCTTGATGACTGCTTCCATGTCAGCGCACTGCAGCACGCGCAGCTTCCAGCTGTCGCTGATCTGCTTCGGCCGCTGCCAGCTGCTGTCGCGATGGACCCACATATCTCACGCCGGCAACTTTAATCCTGGCCCGATAAACAGAGCCACGAATTTCCACACCCATGGCTGGGCGAGGTGCGGGTGGAAAAAAATGTTGCATATATATATATATATATACATTTATTGGATGTAGATATCCCGCACTGTATCCTGAAAAGATGTTTGTTAGATCATATTAGATTTTCAATGATGTCTGCTGTATTTGCTGTATGTAATGCACTGTGTTAGATATCTGTTATGTCTCTTATGTCTGCTATACAGAATCTAACTAAAATTGAATGTATGTGTTCCGACGGTTCGTCGCATCGACTTACCTCCGAAACCACACAACAAAATGCCAATGGCAGTAGCTGAGGTTGCGTCGCTAGTTAGCATGCAATATCCACAATATATAAAATCTGAGATCAAAGAAAGCCAAACTGAGAACAAATTGTTGGACGTGCTTGACAACAGTTCGTTGCGTCGCTGTAAGCCGTCTACAGTCACACAGTCAGACGGTCACTCTCGCTCTGTCACTGCACTTGGAGTGAGTCTTGCCGTCTCCAAAACACAATCAGT